TCCCCCCATCCCCTCCGGAAGGAGAAGAGATTGGCCACCTGCGTTTCCGGGGCAGTCTTTGGTCCTGGAGCGGGCCGGTCACCTCGGGTCTGACTCAGGTTTGGAAAGGTCGGCGGGGGCAGAGTTCCCTCTGGGCAGCAGGGCTGGGCGCGGCGCCCGTTAGTTCCAGACTTTCTGCCTTGGCTATGGCACAAGCGTAGGAGAGGGCAGGCTGGAACCAGGTCCTGTCCAGGCGCACTGGCCTTGGCCTTGCTGGGGCCTGTCCCTCGCCGTGTCCAGTCCCAGGCAGGGTGTAATGAGCAGAATGAAGTCTTCTGTCGGGGAGAGGGGCTGTCAGGGGGACTGCACGGGTCATATTTATCACCAAGAGGATAGTATGTGTCTCTCCCAGAGGCAGAGTGGTCCCCAGGGAAGAACCTTTGGGAAAGTTTCTATGCACATAGGGTCTGGCACCGTTGGGGTGACTTCAGTGACAAGACGCCTTTTCTTTTCTGATAGAAGCTGAGGCCCCAGATAAGCAACATAGTTGTCGGAGCAGGGAGTGAATTGGCCTTGTTTTCTGGATTTCCAGAACTGGTCACTTTTGTGGGTTGGCCAGATACTCTCTCCTAAACAAGCTCCTTTTGGGGGGCACTAACTTTTTTTGGACCCAAAGAATTTGGCCGGAGCTGAGTAATTGTGTTGGAAAAAAACAATTGTCTCCGAGTTGGGGCAGGGCGATTTTGGTGAAGTGGAAAGCTGGCAGGAAGCTGTCGAGAGGGTAGAAGTGGAATTCCGAGTGTGCCCCTTCTTGTGTGTCGGCAGGTTTTGGCTGGTGATTAAGGAAGAGGGACACATGGTCACGGCCCGGCAGGAGCCTCGCCTCGTCCTGGTCTCTGTCACCTATGAGGACGATTGCCTGATCTTCAAGGCTCCGGGCATGGACCAGCTGGTGTTGCCGAGCAAGCTGCCTTCCTCAAACGTGATCCACGACTGCAGGTGCTGTGTTAGGGGGCCTCAGGGACCTGTGACAGGCCTGGTTCCCTAAGGGCTCCTCCCTGTACTCTGTCTCGCTACAGTTTGTATACAGTATGGGATGAGACTGGTAAAGGAAATGCTTACGAGAAGTCGAGTCTAGGTTGGGATCGAGCGGGGGGTCAGGCGTGAGTAGCTGATGCAGGGTATTGCTTTAAGGGTACCTGGGGATCGTTTTGATGAGATACGGTAAGACATGCAGACTTGGAAATGACTGTCACAAAGAAAGAAGTTTTTTATATTCACAAATCCCTAGAAATGGGGGGGCCCCATGCTGTGCAGGGTTACTCGGGGAAGCACCAGGGTTGGTCAGGAGGCAGAAGGAACAGGAAAAATGTGAGCAAGAGCCTTTATTGTGGTTTCCAAAGAGAGGACTATGGGGCAGGATAGAGGCTTAGGATTGGCCAGCGTGGATCATTTCAGTGGGCTCTGGACCATAGGGGCTGTCCCTAGTTGTCTGGTACCTGACCCTGGTTGACCAGGGCAAGGGATGGTGGCCTGGAGTCTAAAAGAGCAACAGAGGAGATGGCTGGGGGCTCTGGATTGGTTCGCGTGTATATGAAAGCCTGGTGGTTTATTATCTCTAGGAGTTAACTAGCCCTGGGAGGGGCACTTTCTTTAGAATCAGCGAGGCCCTGAAATGTTGAAGCACCAAAAATATAGAAAATCAAAAAGCGTGATTAACACAAACAGAGAGTGCGAAGAGCCAATCTTTAGGGTTTGTCTTTTTATTTTAGTAGAATGGACTTCTATTCAGAGTTGCGTCCCCTCTCCTTCTGAAAGCACCCTAAATCCTTGCTACTCGAAGTGTGGTCCCACGGGCCAGCAGCTGAGGCATCCGAAGCTCGCTCTAGGAATGCAGAGTCTCAGGCTCCAGCCCAGCCTCCCGCCCCAGAGTCTGCCGATGCAGGAGGTGACCCTGGCCTCTCTTATCACCCTTGCAGGATTTTCGGTCTTGACATCAAGGGCAGGGACTGTGGCGACGAGGCAGCTCAGTGGTTCACCAACTTTTTGAAAACAGAAGCCTACAGGCTGGTTCAATTCGAAAAGAACATGAAGGGAAGGATGTCGAGGAAAATTTTGCCAGCTTTCGTACAGAACTACCAGGTGAGCTGCCGGAGAGCGGCCCATTCGCCTCCACTGGTCACGCTCCCTTCTCCACCCACAAAGAGCCACGCTGGGGACCCCAGTCAGGAAAGTGTAGCCATGACCCCCGAGAGTGATCCTCAGGGTGCCCCGTGAGCAGGTGTTGGGGCCACACAGGGAATGGAACATGGGAGACACCTGTGCAGGGGAAAGAAGCCAGGAGCGACTCCCAGGGCCTCAGGAGGAAACAATTGGGGAGGTGAAAGTGAGAGGTTTGTTTGGGACTAAGTCCAGGTTTCCTAAAATTACAGAAGCAGGTTTCCCCCAGGGCTGCCTTCACAGTCAGCATGCGGGATGGTTATGCCAGGTGCTGAGAAGGCAGCTCCTCCCGAAGAAACTGCCCTCTGAGCCTTTGATTCTGCAGTGAGATGGGGTTTAAAGTGCAAGCACCTCGGGGTGTCTCCCCCAGACTCCCTGATGACAAGCTCCTTGAATGCCTGGCGTTTTATCTGCTCTGTTCTCTGCGACTTCCCCACCTAGAATAATGCCTGCGGCTTAGTAGGTGCTTAATTAAATGCATGCTGAGTGCGCAGGGGCAGGTGAAAGAAGTTGTTACTAGAGTAGAGCTGATTGGCCGCAGACCCTTCCCCTCTTGGATGCTGCTGCTGTGGGAATGACGTGGGAAGGGGGGTCACCTGTTGGGCTCTGGAGTGAGGAACCAGAAAGAGTGGCGTCTGGAGGGTGTTGGCTCCGAGCCTGGCTGCTGCCTCCGGAGTTTGGACCGGGAGCCCCGCCCTAAGCCCAGAGCTGACTTGGCCGTTTCCAAGTCCAAAGCATCACCTTCTGCGCTCAGGTGGTTTTGCTTCTAGATTTTGCTTAGCCTCGCAGTTGGCCCGAGGAATCTCACGGGGCGGCGAGGCCTGACGGGGCCGTGTTCTTGGCGCAGGTGGCCTACCCGGACTGCAGCCCAGTCATGATCCTCTCCGAAGCCTCCCTGGCCGATCTCAACACCAGGCTGGAGAAGAAGTTGAAGATGGACCAGTTCCGGCCAAACATCGTGGTGACCGGCTGTGACGCGTTTGAGGAGGTGAGCGGCTCGCTGTTTTTGTGCGTTACGCTCAAGACGCTAACGGAGCTGCTGTCCCCTTTGGCCCGCGCCAACTCAGACCCTGCAGGGGCGGCCGTGCCGGGAACTCCTTTCCCAAGTCACCTTAACCTTTTCCAGTCATTCACTCATTGCTGCCGCCACTTTAGATTTACAGTAAAATTAAGAAGAAAATAACAGATTTCCCATATAACCCCCACTGTTACATTCACCTACTGAAGGACACCTTGGTGGCGTCTGAGTTTTGGCGATTANCTGAAGGACATTCACCTACTGAAGGACACCTTGGTGGCGTCTGAGTTTTGGCGATTAGAAAATGTAATTTTGTACCTTGGTTCACAGTAGAAAATGCTTGATAGTCACTGAGGTGAGTAGTATTTTCCAGATGTGGAAACTGAGACTCAGAGAAGTTGAGTAGCTTGCCCAGCATCACACAGCTAATGTGTGGCCAAGTGCGGCTCCTGCGCCTGTCAGAAGTCCCATGAATCTAAGCTGTCTGCACAACTCTGCCTCCTTTAAGCCACTGCCAGGGCCACATAGCAAAATTGCATTGGTCCCCCTCTTCCTCTGGCGCCAGGGGGCAGGTCTCTGTCTCTGAGAGAAGCAGGATAGGTGAGGTCAATAAGAAATGGACAGGAAGGGCAGGGCCAGTGACCATGGGACGCTGGGACCCGCCGTCAGGCTGCCTCTGTGTGGAGGCGAAAGTGTTGAATCTGTGACTCTTATGACCGATTTCCCTTGGGGAATGTCCCACGGATCAAAAAAATGTCCAGTTTTTACTTGGCTTCCGTTGTAGTTGAGCTTTGAGGAGAGACTGGGCTTGTCTTGCAAGCCATACATTTTTGATTATATATCCGTAAATTTGCCTTTGAGTTAATTTACGATTCTCATGGCGACTGCCCCTAGAGAAGGTCTGTTCTTGCTGCTGACGGTCAAGTTTCTGAGCATCTGAGACTGGGAGTCAAGAGGTGGAACCTAGCCTGGCCTGTGTGGCTCAGTGGTTGAGCGTCGACCCAGGCACCGAGAGGTCACCTGATCATTTCCCAGTCAGGGCACATGCCCCGGTTTGGGGCTTAGTCCCCAATAGGGGGTGTGAAGGAGGCAGCCGATTGATGCTTCTGTCTCTCCCTCTCTCTCTCAAATCAATAAAAACATATTTTTTTAAAAAAAGAGGTAGAGCTGGGACTCACCAGCATGCCCCCCCCCCCTTTGAGTCCCCCTGGGAGATATTTCTGACGTCTTCTTGCACTGCTGTCTTCTGCTCCCTTTATGGTTAGTACCAGCCACAGAATAAACTGCTTTAAAGATTAGGGAAGCCTTCACTCAACAGGTAATGTTTCCTTTTCTCCCAGGATACCTGGGATGAAATCCTCATCGGCAACACAGAAATGAAAAAGGTTTTGGCTTGCCCCAGGTAAGGACTCTCCGGAGACTTGACCTCTGGGGTACGGTAGTCCCATTGGTTCCTAATCGTCACCTAACCCGGGGTTCCTGCCTGACAGGTGCATTATGACCACGGTGGACCCAGATACCGGAGTGATTGACAGGAAGGAGCCCCTGGAAACCCTGAAGAGGTAGGACCCGTGTCCAGTGTATTTTTAATGTTACCCCCACCTGTGGGTAGAGGTGCTCCGTCTGGGCACCTTCCACTCTGCCTGCTGGTTGATTTGTGCCTATCGGTTAATGGGAGTGTGGCTTCCTCTTTTTTTCTGGGTGCATCTTCTAGTGATTTTGCCTTTTTTAAAAAATATGTTTTTATTGATTTTCAAGATAGAGAAAGGGAGAGGGAGAGACAGAAACACCTATGGGCTGCCTTGTGCCCTGACTGGGAATCGCACTGGCGACCTCTTGGTGCCTGGGACAGTGCTCAACCAACTGAGCCACACCGGCCAAGGCTGATAAATTTTTAACTGTATAATAGTACGTCTTGAACGTTTCATACCTCTTATATCAGTTTTTAATAACACGTGTCTTTCCCTGTGAAGACCGCAAATACTTTATTTTTATTGCAACTCAGATTTCTTTATTAGAACCAATATCAAGGACTATGAGAATAATTGAAGTTGTATCGTAAACTATTAGAAAAAACAGAAAGAGATGAGTTGTCAGAGTTTGTTTATCCAGGAACATCTCCTGTGCCAGGGCTGTTAGCATCTGTTTCGTTATGTAAAGAATTTGGCCTGATTTTACTTCTCAATATAAAATGTGTTTTTAAACCCAACTTAACATTATGGGGGGAGCTTTATTCTGTTTCTTTCCCTTTGTTTTGGTGTTGGTTTCTAATGAGTTTAGGTGAGAGAAGAGGTTATTTCTTGAAACGTTCAGATTTATAATTCTGTTTCGTTTTGCTTTTGAAGATGCAACGAGGTTCGTTTTTCTTGCAGTTGCATGAGCACTTGTTTCCATGAGTTGTGAAATTCGAGGTCCATGTGTAAACTAAGTATTTAAGTCACATGTAAAAATTTTTCCCCCACTTTTTGGTCCCAAACAGAAGCCATAGGAAAATGGTTTAGACTCTCAGGATAGACCCTTATAGAAAAACCAGAATTATTTGCAGTTTGACTGAAGGCTTATTTATAAGTAACCCAGGGACGAAAGCCTGAATTCTATCGGAAGCACTTAGATTATTAGCCTTTTTTGTGCCTGAGGATGAATTTTGGCTTCTTTCAGCTATCGCCTGTGTAGTCCTTCTGAGAAGCCCATATACAAGTCATCCCCACTTTTCGGGATCTATTATTCGGTGGAAAAAATTGGAAGCTTGAAAGTTGGCGACCCTGTGTATAAGATGGTACAGTGACGGACCCACAAGGGTGAGTGACAGGCAAAGGGCCGGCTTAGCTTCAGGAAGGCAGAGAGCCTTGAAGTTGCTGCCACGTTTTCTCACCTTGAGGTGTTTGTAGGTTTTGCTGCTTTAACTGTTGGGAGCGTGAGCAGCTTGCGTTCAGATCTTTGGAGTTGGGAAATGCCCTTTATTTTATTTCTTTATTAAATATGTTTTTATTGATTTTAGAGAGAGAGGAAGGGAGAGAGAGAGAGAAACATAAATGATGAGAGGGAGTCATTGATCGGCTGCCTCTTGCACGCCCCCTACTAGGGATCGAGCCCGCAACCCGGGCACGTGCCCTGACTGGGAATCGAACCCGCGACCTCTTGGTTCATGGATCGACACTCAACCCCTGAGCCACAGTGGCCAGGCAGTGCCCTTTATTTTTAATCCCCTCGGTCATCTGTATTCTCCCACCCAGCCTTGTCCATCCCCTGCCCCCATTCATGATAAAATGCTGATGCTGGAGCCCTGCAGAAGGACAGGTCTGTGTGCCCAGCTCATTAAGGAATGTTATTCAGGAATGAGAGTCACGTCATCATTTGTTTTCTGTCTCCAACAGCAGAGCAAAGGGGAAATGTTGAAATAATTCAAAATCAACTTGGGGCGGGGAGGGGGCGGGTTGTGAAATACTGTGTAGCAAATGATTTTTTAAAATAGGATTTAAAGCTTGAAAAGAAGTCAGTGCATTCAGGTGCCTGGGTTCTGACCTTCTCACCTGACCATCCTACGGACCCCGTAGGCTAGTGGTCCAGACTCCACATCTGGCGTTAGGTGGCCTTTTCCCATTAAGGTAATTTAGTGCAAGACATGGTTTCTGTTTCTTGCATTTTGATAAGTGACTTTTGTGGGTATTTGAATTATGAATGACTGGTAGGAGAAATAAGCAAATAATCAGATTCTTATTATTTATTCAGGTGTCACAGTCCAGGAGACATTGATCAGGATTTTAGCTACAATAACAACAGTACCTCAAGAATCCTTATCACCAGCCTCTGACCATCTCCACCCTGGAAATGAATCTCTGTTTTTAATTTTTTGGAATTATATGTGCTCCAAGGAAAGTCGTAGAGGTGATTTGAGAATAAGAAAGTTATATAGATTTCAGGTGAGGAAGACTTTTTAAATAAATAAAATTGTCCATGAAATTATTTCCAATGTTAACTGTAGCTATTACGCTTCTGACATTAATATTGATGAGTCAAGAAAGTATAAAGAGTCTGCTCAACAGCTGCAAACGTTTTTTCTAAATGTTTACATTGTATTACCTACCATTCCATGGGTTGGCAAAATGAGGAACAGGTTTCCTGATGTGCCTTTATATGTGAACACACAAAATTCTGTTAAGTTGGGTGTTTGTTTTTTTGTTAATCCCACGCAAGGATATATTTTCCATTGATTTTCAGAGAGAATGGAAGGGAGGGAGGGGGAGAGAGAGAGAGAGAAACATTGATGTGAGTGATCGAAACTCTAACCCAAGTCCTTGCCCTTCACCGGGAATTGAACCCACCGACCCTTCGGCGTGCAGGCTGATGCTCTATCCACTGAGCCATACTGTCCAGGGCTCTGTTGGTTGGTTTTTACCTGGCTATTGAGTCCTTTTGACTTTCTACTCCTGTGCATCATGGAATCAGGTTGTACGGAGTATGGCAATTATTTTACAAACCTTGTTTTTATGTTAAATTAGGCCTCTATGAAGCCATGTAAAAGAAATTGTGTGTAATTGCCAGGTACACCACCTGGAAATCCAGCTATGATCAAGAAGAGAATGGTATTTAAAAGAGTGGAAGTTTGAGAGTTGGGGTAAGGAGAAAGAAAGTTGCACATATTTCTTTAGGTGCAAGTAATTATTATTATTTTTTGGTAACAGAAATAAACTCTTGGTACAACTCAACAGAAATTCTCACTGACGTAATAATATGTGAATGAATTAACCTACTTAATAATTCTGTGATTTCTTTACTATTAATAAATGTGATTCTTGTACTTTTTCTTTGGTATTTATGAGCCTGTTTCCGGGGCTTTCTCATCTTGTAGCAGAACTTCAGTCACCGAAGTTTCCGCTCGCCCTTTCGGATTGCCGAGTGGAGACACAATCGGATCCACAAACATTCCCTCCCGTCTATGGTGGGGGACGGGCGTCGGGGAGACCACAGGCAGCCTGTCTGAAGCCTGATGGCCGGTGACTGGGAAGACACTCCCCAGTGGCCAGTGAGGGGCAGCCCTTCCTTCTATTTTCATTTGCTGGGCTCTGGGACTGCAGTGAACCTCCTTTCCCTGCGAGGGAAAGGTGTTCCCTTAGCTGTGTTCCTGGGTCAATTTTGGAAATGAAATTAAAAAATCCTGCCAACTTTAAAGCCAACCATTAACATAGAGAAGCAACATTTTCCCTTTAAATTCTTGAAGAGAAACGGGGGGTTGGGGGGTGGGGGGTGGTGTTTGGAGAGAGAGAAACAGAAATCCACAAAATTTCATGTCCCCAAGCAGTCTTTTCTATGGAGAATATAGGGCCCAAAGCCCTGCGTTCTGAGATGTGTTCCTCACTGTGTCCCCCCAGGGCACCTGCCATTCAACATTTCAGGGGGGGGAGGGGAGCCTGGACTGACCAAGGCCCTTCTTCCAGCTCATTCCTGGAAGAGGTGGGCTCATGGATGTACCCCAATAGCTGGAGCAACGCTGACCTGTGCACCCCGAACACAGTTCCTGGATTTGGGGAGAGGGAGACCTGAGCTTGTAAAACGAGTAGGACAGATGGGTCTGTTTCCCCAGACCCCTGCTGCCCGCCAGCTCCCCGCCTCCGGAGGCCGGTGGGGAGGGTGGCCAAGGACACCTGGGCGCACAGGCGCCCACTCTCCCCAAAGGCTGGGACCTGCCCGCCGCCTGATTTCTAACTGGAAATCACGCTTTGCCTCGCAAATTTTCTCCTAAGTTAAATAACAACCCAGAAATACGTGAGCAAATCAATGGGTCGCTCGGAGCGTGGCTGGGGCAGGGCTGAGCGCGCGGCGGCTGG